ATTGCATATCCAGGCATGGTGCTAATTTTATAGCAATTCAGATCTCAATCTTATAGCAAGATCGGTTGCGCTTAACCCTTTTACAGCCTCTCAGACGAAAGCATAAGAAAATGGCTCATGCTGCTAGTTGAGTCAATAAGTCGCACAGTAAAGAATGTAAAAAATGCATATTTTCGTGGGTGCATTTCTAGTGGTCGAGCTTGAAATGTGTCCCTTCGAATTAAAAGTTCATACCTATGAGATTCCTTTCATAATGCCCAACAAATTATGGTGGATTGGCACATGTTCAGCTACATCTTAATAGCCTCATTATTTAGGCGTTTAGCGAACGGTCGCTGCTGCTCAGGGATCGTTCTAATACTCACAGAAGAGCATTTGAAATGGCTCAGGTAGGTCCTCTACCTAAATAAACATGGTCAAAATAAGGTTGGAAAGAAAGTCCTGCAACACTTTCAAATTTTTGATTTTAATTTTATCTTTTTTGTTTACAACTCCTGACCGGTCTTATATCTACCATGAGTGTCCACCACTTGTCTCCAACGCTCAGAAAATTTCTTGATGCTCTGCCAAAACCCAGCGGAGTGCGAGTCGAGAAAGGAGGCGACCTCACTTTCGAGTTGGAGTTGATCGTCTGATTATTTCGTCATCAAGATGATGATTTAAGGTCCAGGATAGGTGGCAGTCATTTATAGCTCGACCAGGGGAATACGCTAAGAGAGGTAAGAAATCTTGCCGCAGCTCCAGAATTTCTTACCGGGCTCATTTCGGATCATGGTGATTCGCAATGTCATGAAAGAAAAATATTGTCGCGGTACGAGGGCTCTGACGAGCTGCCTCGGCCAGCTTCTGGAGTTCCGCAGCCTAGACCTCTACCTACACAATGGTGCCCATAACGAAGAATTTGTAGTGGAGCTTCCGTAAGAGCCCTACCTGTAATGGAGTGTGTGGGACGCTGCTGGCTTCTTATAAAAATATCAAAAGATCGAAAGCGCTGGTAAAGGTGAAACACGCTGTAGCGGCTGAAGCCTATTGCAGATAGTGTCGGTCGTTGACACGAATCCATAGTTTTGGAGACATTTGTACTAGACAGTGACTCGGAGTATGGATTTACTAGTGGTCGAGATTTTTTGAATTTTCTTGGATAACTACTGACTGCAGCACTTATATCCACCTCGTGGATTGAAGCCTCGAGAATGCTCTACCATTTGTTAGTCATAAATGTTACCTATGAATTTTTCAGAAAAAAAGAAAATTTTAGAAAGAGTGTTGCAGAACTTTCTTTCCAACCTAATAGAAGATTATAAGCTCAAGAACATTGGTGGTATAACCTTTCGACGTAGGGGCGTTGGCACTGGGCGCGCAATGTCACGTGTCATCGATTTTCCATGCGTGCTCGCCTCCCAGTTCTCGTTTTCTCTGCGTTCTCTCAACGAGGAGAAAATGTCGCCAACTATACCGAGCACGTTATTAATGTAGGAGGTGGAGGATACGACGTATTTCGGTTGGCCTCACGTAGCATGGTGCGGCACGTGGGGGATAACATTCGTTTGCTTGCGCGCAAACGCTGCGACGCTCCTCCATTTTTAACTGCTGCCCTGGAGAGCTGGAGTAGCCTTATTGACTGCTGTCGCTCCCACCCCAGTACTAGCGTTGCGCGCTGGAGGCAGCTGCGCTCCGGCGCCAACGAGGGTTACGGTACATTGCCCTGTTTTCCTAAAATTATAATCTTGTGGTCAAAATAAAGTGCTACTTCAAGCTCTTTTTCAGTTTTCACGGACGCCGTCATCGAAGAGCTTTAATTTATGAAGCATACGCAGTGGAAGTTCTGAAAATTTTGAAGCTTGTAGTATTTCCTGTGCACGAGAGAAAACGAATTAGTCAATATAAGCATTTGAAGTGCGGAATAACGTCGTATAAGTCATTGTGATATTCTTGTTATATGTTGATTGTGTTTAGTATGGCCTTTGCATTTTTATTTGCCAACTCAGATCATGCAACACTTCTCGTTCGGATATACTGATTCTGAGATGTTTTTTGCTGTAAAATAATAAGATTGACTGGAGGACTGAATTGTTATAGGGCTTTCACTCATATAGAAAATTTTGTGTAGATTTGTCTAGGTGCGGTCTTGAAAAAGTTCTTTTTTCAATAAAGAAAACTTCTAATACCGAGCTTTCTGTCACATTGTGAAAAATCGGATTAGAAGGATAGATGATTTGCAGAGCAAGTTTTCATGCTGCTTCAGTGAAGGGCGCGTTCAAATAAGTGAAATACTTGGTAAAAGGGACGCTGCAGCAGTCCTTGTCGTTTCGATGCTTCGTTAAAAGTAATTCGAAACTATGTACTATGTTTGTCTATGGTTGTATGGGTTCATGAAGATCACGCCGTTCAATGGAGCACGCTGATCTCTATATCAACGTTGGGAAGCGTTGCAACGGGGGTCGATGTCTGCATGTTCGTAATGGTGCGATCATTTGTTTTCTTGCGGTTAAGTACCCACGGGTTTGAAACCCCCTTTTTACACCGCTACTGAAGAGCAACCATTGTGGAACCCCAAAAGTTATCACCCTATTGGTATCACCTCTTTTTATCTGTAGAGTATTCGAGAAATTCATGAAAGAGCATGCTGCTCGGCATTAACGGCTAATCATCTTATTTCGACGCAACAACATGGTTTTGCTCCAGTTCTTTCCGTTGAAACAAATCTGATCGAATGCCTCGACGACTAGACCGAAGCTCTTGATAATAAGGTCTCCTGCGTCTAGTAATCATTTGTTTCGACTTTGGGAAAGCGTTCGATAGTGCTCCCTCAAAAAACTGATCTTCAAGCTGGAAGCCTTGAAATTTCACCTCGCTTCCTCACGAAGTGGATTTCAGAATACCTAAGCGATAGAACGTTCCAGGTTAAAATTGGCCAGTCTTTCTCGGATGTCAGGCGGGTGATCAGTGGTGTGCCCCAAGGAGGCGTGCTGTCACCGGTGCTTTTAAGTATTTTTACGGCCGAACTCCCACATGCCTAATGAAGCAAGCATTACTGCAAAGGTGTTTGCAGACGACATGAAAATCTATACAACAATCTCACGAGGAAAGGTCACCAGGTCGGTCCGGCCATTTGCAATGAGGTGTATACCTACGCATTCGTCTTGAGACGATAAGCTAGAAACCGCTTTTCTTATCTGCTAAACGGTGCTCTGAACGGAGTTACGGAAGTTTTCCCCTCAACACTGTACTTAAACGCAGTATATGAGCGCTATCATTGGAGTCGCCACTATAAGCCAAGCGGGAAGGCGCACGTCGTGGTTGACGTGGCGTAAGTGGTAACGCTCCAGGCTTGTAGGCGAGAGGTCATGGGATCGGTCTCTCGTGGTGTTTGTTGTTTTGCCTTTTTGAAAACATGACCAGAAAGGCTTTTAGCGACAGTATCTCCTCAATGCCTGCCTTTACCTGCCTGTGTAAGGAGTTAGGGAGCACCTCTGCGCAGGTTGAAGCTATTATTTAATTAATATTTGCCATGACTGAAAACGACGCTCATAGCCCACTGATAAGGTGTTTTTGCGGTAAACGAGTATGATATTCGTGTTCAGGAGACCGAATTTTCCCTGGTTACAAGTTTCCAGCTGAATCTGAGATTTTGACCTACACTCGAGAAAGGGCAGTCAACATACAGTCAAACGAGAGAAGGTATGAATCGAAAACTAACTGGAAAAGCACCTTCCCTGAATTTTGATGCAGAGTCATGTAAATCATTTCCATTATGCGGAAATGTGAGCCGTTGAACGTTTCTCTTTTCAAAATCTTGGTTGGAAGGGCAATTTCCATGCAAGAGTTCAACGATAGGTTGATGATATGATGGTTGACTCACCTCATTTTTTAGGGTTGGGTCAAAATCTCAGATTCGGTAGGAAACTTATCTCCAAGGGTAGTTTGATCTCCTGAACACGAATATCACGCCTGTTTGCCGCGAAAAAGCCTGACACGTGCATTACGGGCACCATGTTCATACATGGACGACTACTGCCCAAACCTGCAAGGAACTGCTCGAAATTTTTTCGTACAGGGAACTAATGGCAAAGTTGATAAATTAAGAAGTTAGAAGCTTTCTGGCTACATCTTCACGAAGCACAAAAGAAACAGACTCTCCGAGGAACGTTCCCACGACCTCTTGCTCGCGAGTTCGGGGCACTGCCACTGCGCTTCCTTGCTTTATAACTACGTTCAGAGAATCGTTTAGCAGATAAGGAAGGCAGTTCTGAGCTCAGCGCCTCGAGGCGACTTCAACGGTATACGACTCATTGCAAATGGCCGGACCGGCCTGATGACCTTCCCTCGTCAGCAGTGATAGATTTAAAGAGACTTTAGGAAGCAGTTGATCTAACTGTAAGCTGCTCCAAGCAGTGGTAGCTGTCTATAGCACCACACAAAACAGTGTTCATGCAGCTGGTGCCTGGAACATTAGCTTCGATGCGTTCGCACACTGTTGATGGTGTTCCTATTTGTGCGATTGAGTCTGCCGAGATTTCGGGACTCATTACAACAATAGATTGGACTCCACGGAGCACATCAAAACGAAGGTCAGAATGGCTAGTTTAGGAACTTTTCGAATTTTTTAAGGTCCATCCTCAGCTAATAAAGGAGCCTTGCTGCGTGCTTACAAGTCGTATGTGCGACCCCTGGTTGAATCCAGCACCTACGGTATTCAACACCACAAGGAGGAAGCATGTCTATGCGCTTGAGAAGGTTCAGAATAACTTTACTCGTAAACTGCTTATTCGAATTGGTGGTTTTTGTACTCTAAAATACCAGAGGCAGCTATTAGGAATCGGTATCTAGACTTGACATCTTTAGAAGTAAGGCGCAGAGTTTTCAATCTCTGTTTAGTTCACAAGCTGGTTCAGGGCGGGTGTGGTTACGGTGCCTCCGGATCATTCAAGGTGACATATTCGAGAACAAGGGGAGGCTCGATGAAGTTCTCGTTGACACGGCCTAAAACTGACTCGCGGGCAAGAAGCTTTATCCTTGGGGCTGGAAGATAGTGTCTGAAGTGATTGAAAACCACACCTCGCACTCTATCGCTGGCGCAATTTAATCGCCGTGTATTCAATTTGCCACTAACCAGGGAGGCATTGAACTTCCCATGGTGCGAATAAATGTCAAAAGAAGGGATAGAAGCTCTGACTGGGTAAAAGAGAAAATGTGGCCCTACTGCACTATTACAACCCCACTAGGATGTGAGTGAGGTTAGACGGGTCAAAAAATTTTGCTCAGTCTTTCCTATGGGGTTTTCAAGGGTCTCGATCGCGAATATGAGGTCCATCTTCGGTGCTGGCGCCAAATTGGCGCCAGATGGCGCCACTACCAGGGTCAATCATCCGTTGGACAAAGTCCAACAAGGGGGGCGTATTTGGCCAACGGGAGAGGGGAGTCGTATTCGTAGCAGTCAACGTCGCAATAGGTAGGGGTGAGAATGGGTGTAGATGAGGAGGGGTGATTTTATATTATGTTTTTATTATATTTTACATTTTACATTTTATAAGGAGCCTAAGCCAACAGATGCGATGAAGCTCGCAGCTGTTGGCTAAGACTCAGACCATCAAACGATTAGAATCGAAAGGTTTGCTTTCGCGACAGAAGGTGAGAGGTCTAACTTTCGAGTGCTTCTCCAACTATTAACCACAAACGAGTGCATGGCGCACTCAGAGCAGAAGAGTCTACTGCAGAAGTGTCCATATTTGACTGTTCACGTACACAAATATGCTCTCGAGGAGAACCCAGTGTCTTCAAACTGGACCTAAGTTAGCAAAAAATTAACCACTAAGGTAGATCGATTACTAAGGGCTTACAAGAAACGTTTGGAACAAAAATATTTACTGTCTACGACTTATTGAAGAGAGTTTAGTATCTTTCATCGAGCTCAGAGCTTGTGCGTTGTCATATTATTATTATTCCTCATAAATCATTATTCCTGTGTTTGAAGAGAGCCGTGAGTGTTTGAGTGTTAGAAACTCATCAGGAGAGTAGCTGTGAAAATTGACGAAAAAAAAAACAGTTTAACGGGACAATTTTTCTCATTTTGCGAACAAGTTGAAGTATTCATCAGAAAGTAAGACCTTCTAGATTTTCGAATGGGGGACAGGAATTGCAAAAAGTTGAATCTGAAGAAAGTTATAACAGTTCAAAGCCAAAAAACCAGCGCTCTGCGAAAAATCGGTCCGCGATTTCCCCAAAACGGTCCAACGGGCGATTTTTGACTCCATCAATTTTGGAAAGAGTTCAAGTATTCGTTAGAAAGCTCTCTAACCTGGTTTATTCCGGAGGAACAAGAATTGCAAGAGGTTGAATTTGAAGAAAGTTACAGTCATTAAAACCCCGAAACCCTTGTGCGCAAAAAACGGTCCAACGGCGATTTTTCAGGGAAATAGAACGTTTGAGTTTTTTTTTTGAGAGAACAATCTAGAAAATCAAAATTTTCTTGTCGCTTCTCACACTCTCTTATTTGAGAAAAATTGCAACCTTTGAAAGGAAGAAGTGCGCATTTCTGTGAATTCTTGTTTCTCTACCCCATAACTAACACAGTTTTGAAGATACTGCATAAAGTGGTGTTTTCTGAAACTAGCAGTCTCGTAGATTACAAATCTACTTGGCGTTTGAAAAATATTGAAGTTGAACAGAATTACATTCATTTGAAAATTAATAGTCCGCGTTGGTCTATCCGCGCCAGGCTGTGGCAAAGATTGTGCGCGCCAATGCAAACGCGACGATACCGCACTCAATGCGGACACTTCCACAGTAGACTCTCGTGCTCTAGATGCGCCATGCACTCGTCCGCATTTCAAAATCCATATGAATATTTCATTCTGATATGTGCTTGTGTGTCGAAATGGAATATTTTTGTGATTCTGAAAAGTCATGAAATCTTATAATCTTTCCTGTGCAAAACGCCATTCAAATTACATAACAATCCTGTTCAGCTACAATGAAGGCTGTTTATTTATCAGTAATTTACAGTTTATCAGTAGTGGAGTTCGTCTGCCACTTTTGCTCGAATTCAAGATAATGATTTGTGATTATAGATTGCTTACTTTTCGTAATGTGAGCGGTCTTTCCTCAGCAGTGTACATAATAAGCGCTTGGGGGGGGGTCGTATCGAAACTCTCCAAGAGGGGGAGGGGTCGTAAAATCTTTAAAATTGGTCCAACATGACGGTTGACCCTGGCCACTACTGAATCTCTCCAAATTTGTTCTAAATTTGTATGTAGGGGTATTTGGAGCCCTCATTACGAATATGACATTCGTTTTTGTTCGTTGCGCTATTCGGCGCCTATTTCCTGCTCGTCTGCGCCCTCGCACTAATTAGATCGCAATCAGGACTAAGCCTTTGAATAGTGGAGGGCTCCAAGTGAGTAACCACTACTCTGTGATCTCACACACTCAACTTTTGTCACACGGTGTTTGGTTTACCCACTATACCGCCATCACCCCATTTCCCTGAACTTAGTCGTGGACGCTTTAACACGTTAACGACAACGCGAGCTTTGAGCATTTTTGCATTGGACTGGAGCGACTCTGCTAGCGAGGCAGCTGCGGGACAAATGCGATGCGTCCTGCGTTGTCTATCAAGGTGCGTTTTTTGGAGCTTAAAATAAAAAAGGTTAGTAAGAAGATCAGCTACTTTTTATCTAATATGAGCGTATAGACAAGTAAGCTATTTAGCGGATAATTCACCATTATTTAAAGCTTATTAAGACAAAAAAGTTTGAAATTGGTAACAATGTCAAGAACTTTTTCTTCGATGAACTAGGAAAGTTAAGGAAAATAAAACGAAAGAGTGGACGAATATCAACCACTGGACGATCTGTACACAAGAAGAAATTGTAATGTGAGGAGGAGGAAATCGGAAAATGTAAGGATTAGTGGTGGACCAACGATGCCTCTGTCGGGTCCACGTCCACTGTGAAGGGGCGTGGCCCAGGTTACGGTATCGAAGGAGGCTGGCGTTGGCTAGCCGGGGCTCGGGAGTGATGGTCCAACCCTGACCATACTCACCCCGCTCAACGACCCTGTTCCTCATCCTTATATTATATCTAATAAATATGTATAGCCTATATAGTGTTCTGTTACGATATTCACCCTACCCGCTACACACCTTCAGATTAAGGAGTAATTAACCTGTAATCTGATATGGAGGTCCCAGGTAGATAATTTTTTCTCAACTTTCCTATAATTTCTAATTCACTGGTACCAAAAACAAAAGTTTAATAAGGGATTACAAATTTCAAATTAACCACCCACCCCCTCACCCAACACCCCTCTTCGTCTTGATAAGTCGACGTATCAAAAGAAGACCCTGGTAGATCCTTCTCAAGGACATCAACTGTATACAGGTATCATTTATTTATCCTTTTATTACCTTATTACCATAATTGTGAAAAATGTTGTTATAAACAAAAGTAAAAAAAATTGTTATATTATTAATCATGTAGTATAAAAGTCCTGGCGACGAGATCCCCTTTCACGGCTACCCATATCTCACCAATAGAATTCACAAACGTCGAAATCAGTGCAGTAATTAGTGAACCATAAATTTATTTCGCGTGATAGGAACCTCGGCTGTTGGCGGAATACACTTCCATCCCAGTCTGGCCTACGGTTTCCTTTAGCTTTCTTACCTCGAAGACTAACGGTGCGAAGCTTAACCTTCAATCCAGTCTTTGAGGCTCGTCTTAGTTTTTCCAGACAACACGGGCACAGTCCTGCTGTTAGTCTGCTGCGTTCACGGGTTTTCCGCGATTATTGCCGTGCTTTTAGACGTCGTAGTACTTATATCGATGATTAGGTTACCTGAAATTGGATTCGGTTGAAACACCTTCTAATATCTGGTAAACCTTTAGTTACAACAAAATCACTTACACCATTGAATTTAGTTAATTGCCGCTTAATTTATGTTTTGAAAGGACTCGCTCGCCATTTAGTCGACTCAAAATGAGAATTAGCTACTCTCACTACCCTTAGGTTGCAGAAGGTACTATGCACTAACAGACGGGCAATATGTTCCGAATAGCTAACTGCGCAATTGCTCTAAGGATGCCTGCCGATAACAAATACGCAATCGACCTGGCATCTGCGAGAAACATATGCGCAATAACCTAACACTCGCGAACAAAAATATATTGCGCAACCCTCTGGCGAGGCCGAATCTGCTATCCTATAGGTAAACCAATGTTACATCATATCCGTTGCAAAGGATATGTGTGCATTTATTGCGCAAGCCTGCTCACTTGAGCAGACGGCGCTATATTATTGTTTTCAGAAAGGATTACAGTAAGTTGAATGAAAAAAACTCTTATCCAAATAAGATATGTCTTGAAGACTTACTTCTTTGCAAATAACACGGTTACATGAGTATCTTTATTAGTAAATAACAGTTGATACAAGTTTCAAAAGTGAATGATTAATTATTGGATTGGTTATTGGGGAGTGGTCCCCTCTTCCTCTTCCTCTGGTCCATTCTCTCCCGCCTCTTCATTTCGGGGTGGCGCACGGGGGTCCTCCGGGGTGTGGACTGGCTGCTCGAAGAAGCCAGTCATGTGGAGGAGCGCCACCCGCAGCTCTTCATTTACCTGGAAAAAAAGCAGTTACATCCATAATAGTCTACTAAGAACTAAGAGATGATTAGTCAAACACTAACCCTATTTACAATCTCCCAGTTCCGCCTGCACTCCGCAGTTGAGGCGCGGGTGCTGCCTAAAACCACATCGTGGCTTTGTCTCTCAGCTTCGATAGAGAATAATAGCCCACGGCGCCAGTCGTCGGCAATATTGTGGGCTGCATATTCGCTGTGCAGCTCCATAGCCGCGTTGTAGCATCCATGGCATTGAGCAGGCTGAAATTTATCATGTTAGTTGGTATTCTCGCTAGAAAAAAAATAAAAAAACGGTAGAAAACAAACCGCCAATTTTCGCAGCATGGCCTCCCTGAATTGGTCGTGGTTCATTCTTTTTATCTTTTAAAAGCGCTGAAAACGATGTTTAAGTTAAAAACAGAGCAGGAGAAACTCGACCTCTTCGCTGAAAGACAAATCAAGACTGAAATATCTGAAGGCTCAAACCTTTGCCAATATCAATAATCAAATGAAAACAAAATTTTATTCGCAATTAAAAAAGAACGATAATTTTAGCATTAAGAATCACTGATTCATTGGAAGTCTCACTCCCGGTAGTATAGGGCGGCGACAGCCGCAAATCCCGATCCCGAGGCGGGATACTTTGCCGATCAGTGCATGATAAAACTGAAATTGTACAGATAGTTTTAGTTTTTATTTAAGGAAAAACAAAACTCACCTTTAATTCATTAAACAGTCTTTCTTGCTCGTGCTTCAGAGTGCGGAGCTCTGCTTCAAAAACTTTGCCTTTCTCCTTCTGTCCCACTTGTATGTCCGCCAGGCGGAGAGCTTCTGTCTCACATGCAATTCGCATCTCCTTGACCCTTTCAATCCAGCGTCGTTCCTGTATGCAGAAATCGCAGAAGTTCTGAAAAAGAAAAGATTGGATTGATACAACGACGGCAAATTACCAAAAGAAAAATCTTTATGAACCTACCTTCACCCTTCCTTGCTTCTCCTCTTCTTCATCGGAAAAAACCCCATCGGGGCTCCGAGATTCCCACTCATCATCACTGCATATGGGCGATGGTCCATCGAATGGAGGGCCGTAGTTGTCCATTTTCGTAATCTGAAAGCATTATATTTAAGAAGAAGTAGACCTCTAGAAATAGGAAGGAAGGAACAAAATTTATCCCATGAGGTAGAGTCTAAGAATTAGGATAGATAAGGAATAAAAGCTAGGAAGACCATGTCGTGAGGTAGAAGGGATTGTCCACCATCAGTTCGAGGTCCTTATATATCCACGGAGTACGTGGAAAGACCAAAAAATAAGGATTTGACATGACCCCATGGTTGCTTAAGGATAATCTTGATGCAATACCGATTTATGAGGTCCTTCTAAATCTCTAGATCCTTCAGCCTTACACTATCGCGACACCAGATGGTAAGCAGTTTCTTTGTTAGTATGACGAACTTTCATCACCGATATTTGTGCGATAGGAATCTTTCAATGCAGTCATGACATGTAACCAACAAATGAATATGAACGCAATCACAAGATGACGCGAGTGTCTTTTAGGACTAAGCATAGGAGTGGTAGGAATTTTAGGGAAAATGGGACTTGCTCACTAATTGGAATCTCCCATCCCCCGCCTAAAGAAAGCTTTGTCCTTTTTTCAAGAAGAACATGTTTAACGCGGTTTTGAGTACACTGCCAATGCCCCGTCGCTTGCGGTAGCGTCTTAAAATGCTTAGTGTTGCTTGGAAGAGATAGCGTTTTGCAGTAATGAAGCACGATACGAGCTATCCGTGTCTTGATTATGTCCTCAAGAGCGACTTCTTAGTTTAAGTAGTAGTCGTAGAAGTCACTACCAATACCTACATATTCATGCAAACTCCAGCTTGGCATTATGGAGTATCGTAATGTGTTGACACTCTAGAAATCTTCAGTCTTCTGTTCTCGAGGAGGAAATGAAAATTGTGTTCGACAGGGGGAAGTTCTTGGTGGCACACGGATTTATGCGGTTTCTACCGCGGACTTTACTTTCCTTCCAACCGGCTCTGAAGTATAATCCCCGAT